CTCTTCGTAGCTGCACCGCGTCATTGGGGCTATAGTGCCGCCCGGTACACGGCAAACCCGCATCCTTCTCCGCTTCCTGACGTGAACACGAGAGAGAGGGCCGGGCCGCTACGGGTGAGTCTGATGAGAATAATAATGTTGCTGCTGGCGCTTCTGCTGCTGGTGGTGGTGGTGGCAGTGAGGGTCCAAGTGCACGGGACGGCTCATGGCATCGGGGGGGCGAAATCCAATCATCACTGCTCCCCTGACCCACGGAATAGTCTTGGGAGGGGTGACAGTTTGCGACCGCAGCACTCTTGCATGCAGCTGGTGGCGGGGTCCCTGCTGCACCCGCGTGGCCAGCTGCTTCCGTGTAAACGTCTGCAAAGCGAGCATGCCGATCTTCCCGCGACTCGTTCGGTGACTGTCCCGTGGATGTCCCTTGCAACGCCAGGGACGCGGGCGTCCTCCGAGGCTGAGTCGGTGGGCCGCCGTCACCAAAGGCGCGTGTGTGGGTTTTCTCTCGTCTTGGGCCGGCCTTTACCCCTGAGTGCGCTTTCACTCGCTGTGGCACCGCATGGACAGATCCGGCTCCGCTGGTGCACACAGAGGAGTCCTGACAAAAGTAAAGGCGTCTTGAGTTACGCTCGGCGGCAGCCTCACAGGGCGTTGGGGCGCGAAGGCTGTAGCACAAAACGGAGCGGTTGGGGGCGGCTCCGCCTGCAGAGGACCGTGGACCAGCCTGCTTCGCTGACAAGCGTACGGCAGAACGGGCAAGTGGTCGACCCACGAGCTTCCCCTGCGACCCCCGTGTGAAGAAGTTTGCTGAAGGGCTCTGTCGCGGGCCCTCACGGCCTGTCGCTGCGCCCCTTCTCTTGTACGCCAAGTGCCTTGGCTCCTGCACGGCGTCTTCCTCACCGTACTCCGCGCAGTAGTACTGCTCCGCGGCGACGTCGGCGCAAAGGTCCGCACCAACCCACTCGCCAGGAGACACTTTGCCACGACTCCGCGCCGGCAGCGGCCTCAGCACGCGAATGGGAGAGGGCGACTCGGACCCATAACTTGATCGAAACCCGCTCATATCGTGTGCGCCGCCGCCGCTGCTGCTGCTGCTATTGTTGCTGTTGTTGCCGTTGCTGCTGCTGTGGGCCTCCGAGTCTCGCCTAACCTGCGCCAGCCTCCAGTACAGTGGGGCCGCCTTGTCCTTCACATCAACGCTAGCGCCGCTACTCGCCACGCAGTAATTGCCCCGCTCCGCCACTCTGCCCATCGGCTCCCGCGGTGGTGTCCCCTCGCGCCACGTCGACTGCGACGAGGATGCACTGCGAGCATACAGAGCCGCCATTCGCTCCGCGTCCATAGAAAGAGATCTACGACGCCCAGCTCTACTACCCCTGCAATGGTTATTCGCCTCCAAGAGGCTCTCGCCGTTCCTCTTGGCGATAGGGCCCGCGTGAAAGGCTGGGGTGCTCCCTCGCAGAGACGCAACTCGCATGCGGCCTGGAACGCACTGGGCCACCCACGTTCGCGGCAAAGCCGCTGTCCCAAGTCGTTGTATTTCCTCGACCTGCACTCGACCCACGCTCAGCGAGCCTCAGCGTCGTCTGCTTCCCAGCCACACGACCTCCCTGAGGCGGCTTCTTCGCGGGCTGCTGCCGCTGCCGCTCTTGCTGCTGCAAGACAGCTTCGTAAACGGACGGCCCATGGCGCGGCAAGGCAGGAGAGGCGTCCCGTGGAAGCCGCCTACACGACGCGGGCGGCGCGGACGACTTTGCTGGCGGTGGCGGTGGCAGCCCGGCTGGCCGCGCGTCCCCGCGCTCCGCCACCCGCTCCAACTCCCACTTGTACCGCTTGCGCAGCGCCAGCAGTTTGGACTTCTCGTTCTGCAGCGCGTTCGCCGAGGCAGGGGCCGCGCGCAGCGACTTCGACCACGGCAGCTGCTCCATCCGGTGAAGCTCGGCATCGACGAGGCGAATTTGACGAAGCAGGCAGCGACGTTGACGCGCCGCGGGGCTGCTTTCGCCGGTCGTGCGACGCTGACTTCCTTCACCCGCGCTGCGCACTGAGCGGGCAGGCGCTGCCGTGCACGTCACAGGCCCCGTGTCCTCCCTCACCCACGTCCGCAGCAGACAGGGGGAAGAACACCGCAGTTGCGTGAAGTCGCTCGTGCCGCCATTCGCCCGGCTGCCTGTGAGCGCCGCCGCTTCCTCCGCGACTGCGCCTCGTGTCCCGCTCCTTCCACGATCCCCCCGCTTTGGTGGCTTATTTGAGTTTCCAGAACTCACGGAGCGAGCGCCAAGAACAAGGACGTGACTCCCGCCCGCCCCCGCCGTCAGCCTCTCAAGCTCGGCCTCTGCAAGCGTGGCACTTCTTCGGGTGGGCCTCCGTGGCGCCGGCTCGTCGTCGTCGCTCTTCCCCAGCATCCGCTCCGTCTCCGTGTCGGAAGGCGGCGGCAACGACGACTGCAAGCTTGCTTCCCGCGTGCAACGCTGGCTGCTCAGCCGACCCGTGCTACTCTCGGAGGGGGCGCGAAGGGTGTGGATCGCGGCAGCCTCCTTGCTTGCCGCCCACTGTCTCCTCGCCCTCCCCACCGGCCCGCCCACGGCGTGCGATGCAAGCAACTTTTGCCCCGCCGCGAGGCCTGCTGATACGAGCGGAGACACAAGCGTGTGACGGCGGTGTTGTTTTGCCGCGTGGGGCGTCGGGGGTCGTGAAACTTCGCTTGCTTGGACCGCGGCACGGCCACCGTGAAGTATTCGTCTATTTTGTCGCGGCTCCTCCGCCCCCGTGTCGTGTCTTACCGCGCCATTCTCTCCGGCCACGTCGTGCCCGCCAGCAGCACCCCCATGCGCAGCAGCGGCGGCCACAGGCGTACTGTGGCCGTCTACTGGAGACGCGGAGGCGGCGCCGTCGCGCCGCTCCACCGGGTGCGATGAGTCGTCTAGCACAACAACAACCACCGGCGACGCCGACAAGTCCATCGCACCGGCCTCGCCCTCCCCTAAGTTCGTTTGGCCATTCCCCCGCGGCGGCGTTGTTTTCTGCATGGCGGCCTCGCCGTCTCCTTCCGACACCACAGTGCGCTGCGTCTCCGCCGGGAAGTTCGGCGGCGCAAAGAGGCTTGGTGCCGGCTGCGCCTGCGCGGCCGCGTCTCGCCTCGCCTTCCTGCCGGCCTGAAAACCCGGTGCAACGACGCCGTCGCCGTTCGGCAGCGTGTCAGACGCCCACGCCGCAGCGTGCGTCGTCTCTAACGGCTCACATGCATCCCACGCACGCCGCTGCTGCTGCTGCGCACGGGCGGCCCGCTGCCGCTGCATGGAGTTCTTCAGCAAGCGTATCTTTTCCTGGAAGAGGGCCCCAGCGCTCTTCCCGGCAAAGTCAATTCCACCCCCACCCCTACCGCATGCCGCCGCCGCCGTCGCACTCGTCGTCGACGCGTCAGAGGAGCAGGAGGAGCACACCGTAGACGGCATAAGCGAAGAGGTCACCGTCGGTGTTCTCGTTGAGGTCGCGGATGCCGCATCGCACAGTGGCCGGAAGAAGGGCGGAAAGGAGCGGCACCAGTCGCCGCTCTGTACACCCATTGCGGCGCCCGGGTCCCAGCCGTGGGACTCGCTCCGCATGTCTCCCACGCACGCCTTCTTATGTCTCCTTCTTCTCTTCCTTGTTGCTTGTACGTCCTCGATCTCCGTGGGGCGCACCGGAAGATGCGAAGCACACTTGACGAGAGGAGAGAAAAGGCAGTGCAAGCGGGGCAAACACAAACTAAAGCAAAACAAAAAGGACGAAATCAGCAATAGAGCAAAAAAGCCACACAAAAAAAAATATGTCGCTGAGCGTATATAGATATATAGGTAGATATATGTGTGTGTATACCCTTCCACTCTGGGCGGATACCTCGGCGTGCATGCATGCGTGTTTGTACATGAGGAAGGAGGCAGCTGCACATACACGAACACACGAACACACTCCCCGCTGCAACCTCATTTTCTACCCTCTTCACATGTTGTCTCCGCCGTCGCGTGGGCAGCGCCAGCTTCATCCTCCCTGTACTTGCCTTCGTGGGACTGCGGCCGGCCCCGGTCGCCTCTCCTCTGGCGGCCGCTTTGTTGCTTTTCCTTTCCTTTTTCCCTTCTGTCAGTAGAGCGATGTCTTCTTCATCACGCGGAGAAATTCGTCCTCGCTCACCTCCCCGTCACCGTCGCGGTCGGCCTCATCTATCATCTCCTGCAGCTCTGCATCTGTCATGTTCTCGCCGAGCTCCTGCGCCACCCGCTTCAGGTTCTTAAACGAGATCTTCCCCGTCTTGTCGCTGTCGAAGAGGTGAAACGCCTTCAGCATCTCCTCGCGCGAGTCGCGCTCCGTCATCTTGCGGGCCATGAGCTCCATGAACTCCGCAAAGCAGATCGACAGCGGCTCGCCACCGGCACCGGTGCCGGCGGGGGCGTCGGCCCCCGACGCCCCGCGCTCATCGGTGATGGACATCAGCAGGTGGCGCACTTCATCCTTGCGGGGCTCAAAGCCAAGCGCCCGCATGGCGACTTTCAGCTCTTTCGCGTCGATGGTGCCGCTGCCGTCGGTGTCGAAGAGGTCGAAGGCCTCCTTGATCTCCTGCTGCTGGTCCTCCGTCAGCTCCAACACGGCGTTGTTCTTGTTGGCGCCCCGCGGCTGCTGGGAGTTCGTGCCCGGGGGCGTCACCTGCATCGAGGGGTTACTCATGCGTGTGTGTGCGTGTGGGTGTGGGTTTACGTTTGACTAACGCCAAGTGGCCCGCTGCGCAAACAAAGTAGAGAAAAGGGGAGAGAGAGGCGGTGTCGCGGCAGCCAGGCCGCCGGAATACAGCCAGAAGCGACTGAAGGGACAAAAGCCTCTCCCCACAAAGGCAGAAACGTATAGACGGTGTACGCACGAGCACGCCCCCGCCAATAGAGCGTGCACGCGCGATAGAGAGAGGGAGAGAGAGAGGGGATGAGGAGGAGGTGGTCGTTGTGGGGAGAAGAAGAAAAAAAACACGAGCCCCCCTTCGCAAGGCTGTTCTCTTTTTTTTTTTTTACCGCCCCATTTTATCTTAATTGTTTCTTTCGGCGCTACCACCGCCAGCAGCGGCGGCGGCGGCGGCGGCACCCTAGCCCTCGTTGTCGGCCTCCCTACCCGTGTGTGGCAGGGCGGCCAGGGGAAGTTCCGCCTTGGGCCCGCACACGCACACACTCCCGTGCGCGCTGCTCATTCATCCCCCACTCGGCCTCTCGCCCCCTGCCCCGTTAGACTGCCGGCACGGCTCCCTCCCAGTTTTTTTTATTATTCTTTCCCCCCCCCCTCTTGTCTTTTCAGTGTTCTGCC